CGAAATCTCCTTATAAATTACTCTCAATAATAGGTACACCTCTATTTAAGAGACAGCTGAATGGGAGAATATACCTTCTATTTAAAAACACCTCATTATAGGGTGTGACTAGTGCTACGGTCAAAATCTCTCTAGAAGACAGGGTGCCCGAAACAGATTTTAAAAAGCGAAACACGAAACTCGCATATCCCTGCTATAAGATACACCCAATAATAGGTAGACCTCTATTTAAAAAACATTTTTTAATTTGGTTGACGACAGAATAAGGAGCTGTTTAGGAGATGCCACCAAAACCTCATTCTAAGGCATTATAAGATACCTCCAATACAAGATACACCTCTATTTAAGAGACGTCTTTTTAAATTTGTTTTACCATATATTTGGAATCTTAATAGACATACCCCCAATTTAAATCCCTAATTATAAGGCATGATTTTTCTAGACGTAAAGGGGCATCTTATATGTCAGACGACTCTTTTAGACAACTTATATTTTAATCCATATCTCCCTAAATATTCCAAATGTTATGACCCCGCTTACGTAGAGGAGCTAACAAATACGTTTATCGCACACAGAAATACAAAGTAGATGAAGGTAGGAAGGAAGAGCTAAAACTGGGAGAGAACTAACTGATGGCTGGGCTTTTATACTAATCACTCTAAGGGCTGACGCCCATACACAACACCTCCCCCCTTGAAAAAAAAGGTTCGGCTTCACTTAAAGCCGAAGCTTTACAATATACTCACACTTTTACAATATACTCACACTTTGCCAGCCAAACAAACAAACAAAAATACATAAAAAATTTTTTTGGGGGAATAAGGACAATGGGAACAAAAATAAATACATACAACTTTACAAAAAAATACAACAACAATATTATCACAATTATATTATATGTGGCTCATCTACATCTCCATATTATTATCGTCTTCAGCGTCCTTCATCATTGACTTGTTCCCAACGTTGTCCTTCATCTTTGATTTGATCTTCTTTGAGCTGGCCTCACTGCTAACACTCGATAAAGTTACACTACTATCACTCACTATTTTCTCTTCACTCATATTCATCTTTTTGATGTCTTCATTGAGCAACTTCTTTTTATTACTCCACTCATCAAGACGGATTTCTTTATATGACCTGGACACAATACTCTTCAACACTTGCACTTTGATTTTCCAGCCATTTTCCGTCTTTCGCAATACTTCACCTTTGAGCCACTCAATTTTTCCACTTCGTTTATTGGTATTCTTCACTTTCACTTTTGTCCCGTTCGGGAACGCATTCTTTTGTATCTTGAATGGTGCCTTCTTTTTACTCCACTTTTGGTACTTTGGCTTTTGGTTCCGATCTGACACTTCTTTCAATCCAGGCAATCCCAAGATACACACTTCACTATTCACTACATGGAACTCCATAAAGACATCTTTGTCTTTCACTCTCACTTTGCTTTTGAACTTTCCTTCAATTTCCACTTTGTTGTCACCCAACCCCACTCCACTGTAATTCACTTTTTCAATTTTGGGCTGGCCAATACTATTCCACACTTCTTTATTGACAACATTTATTTGCGATGCAGTATCGACAATCATTTCAATATTCACTTCTCCAAACTTCACTCGTTGTTTAATCCACTCTTCTTTTTCTACACTTTGCAATGGATCGAAGATATCCAGAATTGCGCAATATGGAGCACCTGAATGATGGTTATTACCATTATTCCACTGCCGTTTAGGCTGATACTGCTTATCATTCAAAAACTTACAATGCATACGCCAGTGACCAAAACGTCCACAATGACTACACTTTTTCTCAATAACATTTTGCTGATACTTGACGTTTGGTTTGGACCACTGTTTTTTGCACTCACTTCCAATTTCACTTTCACTCTTTTCAAAACATTTCACTTTTTGCACTGTGTTGACTTCAGGCACTTCATTCTTCACTTCACTCATTTTCTCTTTTACAAGATACAGTGCCTCACTTTTATTGGCCATATATGCCCGACACTCTTCAATAATTTCCTTCAATGTCATTGCCTGTCCTTTTTCACTTTTATTTTCAACACTTTTCATTGCCACTTGTCGCACTGCCATTGCATCACTTGGCATACCTGAAATAAAAATCAGGATTTTCAACTCCTCAATCGACAATGCCATTTCGGCTCGCTCACATTGAGCATTCACTACATTCCCAAACTCGACAATGTCTTGAAGGGCACTACACTTAACATTTAAGGCCTCGAACCTTTTCAACAATTTAGACCTATGGTCACTAAACTCTTTCACTAATTCACTACAGAGTTCGTCAAACTTCATTTCACTCAACTTGGTTGGCAGCATTTTCCTTTCAATTTGGGCATACTCTTCTGGCCCCAATTTACTCAACAACAATCTCACTTTAGAGGATTCTGGCAGGGTTTTACCCTCCACCTCAAAATAGGACCGATGCCTGCCCAACCATGACTCAAAGGTCATACCACTCGTCAAATCAAAAACGAACTCACCAATCATCCCAACTAATTTGCTGTACAATTCGGTGTCGTTCCACTCACTCGGCTTCAAGAGCCTCACTAACATTTTCTCAAAGTGCTCTTGCTGAGCCTTCAACAATTTCTCCACTGTTTTTGCATCCATTTTGCACTCACTAAAAAATAATTTTTTATCACTACACTTTTACTAAACACTACAATTTCACTAACCTTTTCGGTTTCACTACACTACAATTGTCCACACAGATTTTCTTTTTCTGAACTGCACACAGCTTACGTTGACGACACACAGCTTACGTTGACGAGCACTCACTGAAGTTGACGAACTGACTACTGGTTCTTTTTGAACACGACCGCGCCACTTGTTATGACCCCGCTTACGTAGAGGAGCTAACAAATACGTTTATCGCACACAGAAATACAAAGTAGATGAAGGTAGGAAGGAAGAGCTAAAACTGGGAGAGAACTAACTGATGGCTGGGCTTTTATACTAATCACTCTAAGGGCTGACGCCCATACACAACACCAAAAACTCCAAATATCCCATCATTAGCATGGCTTAGATTAATGCAGACCTGCTCATGAATACTGATTTTAGTATCCGTATCCAGATATCTACGGCGGATACAGGCGGATATCCGCAGGAATCTTGATATTAGCTGTATCCATATCCGTATCCTGAGCAGGTCTGGTTTAATATGACTCCAATGAAAAATATAATATGTATCACACATTTTCTTCTATTAAAAAATTTTTCTTACGACTTAATTTTTCAAATTTTTTAAGTACCGTTCATTACCGCGCAGGTGTTTCTCTCTCACACCTTTTTATTAATTTCCCTTCCAAACTTATTTTGCACTTTTTTTATTTAATAATTATAGACTGCCAAGTTTTCTCACAGCAAAATAAGGAGAAATGAAAAGCTGGAAATTATTTTTAAGAGAAATTGGCATTTTGACAGTTTGCCAACGTTTGCGTTACTGGGGGGCATTTGAGTCTCAGAATATTCCCGCCTCAAGCATTTTTGTCATACTCTTACGGTTATTTCTGTATATACAGTAGAATCTCTCAGTTACAACTCCCATTCCTTATATTACTCTCCTTCAAGTGTCACTCAATTCGAACTCGGGGGACGTATTTTAGCCTGATTTGACTTAGAGTTGTACCCCGAATCCTGAGGGCACGTTTTTCGGGGGGCGTTAGAGGATTACTGACAATAAATTGTGAGTGCTATTCTGTCAGTCATCCTCAAACGCTCCCCGAAAAACGTGCCCTCAGGATTCGGGTACAACTCTAATTTTACTCCGTCTCAACGACTATTTCCTTCTGACATCAGCAAAATTCAGCCCGAGGGGTGTCGTTATAGAGGGATTAGACTGTCGTGAAAACAGAATAAGATCAGTAAACCTCAGCCCAATATGTTCTTACATTACTCTTCTTCAAACTTCATTTAATTAGGATTTTAAGGGCGTGTTTCAGTCTGAACGTGTTTAAAGGGATTAGACTGTCATAACGAAAGATTCCAGAAAATCGTAACGGAAGTATTCTATTTTACTAGAATTTTTTCAAATTTTCATGGCCTTCAGACCCTCTTGCTCTTTTAGCCTTCACTGAGGGTCCCTAAATTTATTATTGTTCTGTTAGCTGATGCCAAACAAAGATGAATCTTCTGAATAAAAAAACAACAAAAAATAAATTTGAAAAAAAGGTGAATTAGGTATTCTCCGTGGTGATGACATTTTCGCTGTCTTGACAGAAGCGAATAATTAAAAGATTTGTTATTGCTCGAGAGAATACTAAATTCGCCTAAATTTTAATAAAATTCTCAACAACGTTAAAATTAAAAAGACAATTTTGCTTCAAAAAGGGTTACGGTATTTTCGTTTCGAAAAATAGTTTTAGAATAAACGACAACTTTAAAATACTATAAAAGCCTTTATTTTCTTCTTTCTTCACCAGCCAACAAATTTCTTCTTCAAAACAAATTCTTCAAACGACACTTTCTCTACAAACAACGACATAGCATCAAGGCGGCATGCTCTTCTGTTTCGACGACGGATCTGGAACGAAAAAGGCTTCAACAGCAACTCTACGTTCGGCTACCACCATCTTGCCGATGTTCTTTGCTTCGACTCTCTTCGTTTTTGTGCTGGTTGGGCAGGTCAACAGTGAAAAGGAGTACAATGGCCCTATTGGATTCTTCAACCACACTTTGAAGGATGGTCGTGTCACGCTTGATGAAAATTCTGTGAAGGTCAGAGAAGGAGACGTCTTCAACCTTACAAAGTACACGAATCATTCTGGGTCCTGTGATGTTGAAATCAAGAACGGAAACATGTGAGCTGCATTCTTTTTGGATTTTTTAAACAATTTTGATTTGTTTCAGTGTGCTCTACTACAAGAGGGAAAACGGAAAGAACATAAAGAACGATGGCTGCACTGTGGATCTGCTCACAAATCATTCAAACAAAATCAATTTCAAGACTGGAGTGAAGATAGAACCTGAGGACTGCCTAAAAAAGTGTTCAAGGCAAGAGTTCCTTTTTGATGGTGCCAGTGATAATACGTTAGTGTATTTCCTACATAATTTGACAATCTTATTTCTTTTTAGCCTTCCCTTCGCCTACAGCCCAATGACAGAGAATAACATCACGAGACTCAAGACGCGTCGACCATCTGAAGGAAAAAAGGGAGATTGCAGAAAATTCAAAGCGTGTAGCACAATGTACAACTTTGCATGCCATGGACTTCTCTCGAGATTGCTTGGAACAAATGCATCTGGAAAGGCGATGATCATATTTTTGCTCACATCCATCCAAGTGAGACAATAATCTTTTAATTGTCTTAATAATTTATTTTTCAGTTGGCGAGAAACTGACAGTATGGACTATAAAGGATCTCAATGGCTTTAAAGAGTTTGGTCTGAAGATAGAGGAGGGCGGCTTCTCCATGGATTTGAAAGGAGTAAAGGAGGAGGAGGGGAAGTATAATCTAACCGATCCAGAACAAGAACATCCATACTGCGTTCTTGAAGGAGAAGGCTTTATCAAACCTTCGAATTGGGAAATTATTGGGAAGAATCCTGCTCCAGAACATGATCATTTGCTTGTCTTCTACATGCTTCCACAGAGCGCATCTCGAAAGCACATTGATGGCAATGTCAATGTTGATCCTCCTGATGGTCCAAAATGTGAAGAACTCTACATTGAATTTGTAAGGAATTTGAACTCTCTTGTAAAATCCTTTCAAAAAACTTTTTATTCAGGACATGCAGAACTACACTCTTTTGTCTGTCCGCGATCTACCCACCACTACCACCACCACCACTACAACAACTACACCACCGCCAACGACCACCACTTCAACGGCCACCACATCAACACCAACTACTGTAAAAACGACGGAAACAGCAACGACTGAAAAGCCTAAACCTCAGGATTCTCTCTTTGGGCCTACAGTCATCTTTATCGGAATTTTTGTTGGAATTATTGTTATTGTCTTTGGTGGAGCTATGGTCATCTTTCTCTTCATGAAGGTAGTTTGTGATTACGGAGTGATTGTAGAGTATTTCTTTTTCTTTTCAGGCTAAGAAAAATAGGGCAAAATGGGAGGACGATGATAATTCGAAGATTACATCGGAAAAATCAAAGATGGGGGAGAAGTCAAAAATGGAGGAGGACAAAGCAATGATGGAGGCCACGGCAAAGATGGAGGAGGGCAAGTCGAAGATGGGGGAGAAGTCGAAAATGGCGACCACTGCGAATTCGATGATGGAGACCAACTCGAAAATGGAGGAGGAGGACAAGTCGAAGAGCAGCCAGCAGGAATGATGAGAGGACAATAAAAGAAGCTATAAGTGTTCCAGAGAAGAAAAAAGATGTGTGATTGTTGAAGAGAAAGTTCAAAATAATAATTGTTGTTGTTGTTTTCCCTCAAAAATATATTTGTACCTATTTTCCTACATTGCCCTTGTACCTATATAATTACCCAAACATTTTGTTGTTTGTTTGTTTGTATTGTTGTGATTGTTAAATAAATTGTTGTGTTTGTAGAAAAGACTTGAGTTTTATTCGATTTTGTATCTTTTCTGATCATTTAAAACAATTTAAAAATGTTTAAAAAAATAAAGGCACTGAGCGGGGTCGAACCCGCGACCTCCTCGAAAACATCTTTAATTTCCGCTTAAATTTATTTTTCGTAGGATTTTAAACCATTAAAAAGTGGAATTTTTATTTCTTGTTACTTCTTTGCTTATTAAAAACAGTTTTTTAACTTTAAAAAAATTCCGGGCCTCGAGCTGGGTCGACCTACGACCCCCTTTTGATCCTTCATCCCTCTTTTTAAAAAGTTTTAAGTGGTGTTTTTGATAAAATCTGAACAGAAATATACATTTTTGTAATTTTGGTCATAAAAACAATTTTCAACATCTTAAAGAATTCCGGGCCCCGAGCGGTGTCGAACCCGAGACCCTCTCAAATTTAATCCAACATCCCTCTTTCTATCTCTGATTTTTTCACCTTTTTTATTTTTTCTTTCCCAACATTTTCACCATTATTATTTTCCATCAATCTTGTCCTCTCATTAATTATTTTATTTTTTATTTCTACTTCATTTTTTAATTTAATACATTTTTTAATTTAATATTACTCGAATCGAAGGAAAAAAAGAAAGTTGTGTTCCAAAATATGGCCTAGATATCGTCATTTTTCCAGCTTATAGACAATAGAGTAAATACGATACAAAAATAGTTTAGCAAAAGTTTATCCACCGGGCAGGATTGCTAGGCGCGTTCGCTCACCACATACAGTAGCACTACCATTAAGCTACTGGGGCTTCGACTAAAACTTTTTCTGTTCGAAAAAGTTTTGGTATAAAAGCCGACTTTGAAATACTATAAAAGCCCTTTATTTTCGTCATTCTACACCAATCAACATAATTTCTTCCTCACAGCAAGTCTTCAAACGTCACTACAAACAACAACAAAGCATCAAGGCGCCATGTTCTTCTGTTTCGACGATGGATCTGGAACGAAAAAGGCTTCGACAACTCCACGTTCGGCTACCAGCATCTTGTCGATGTTCTTTGCTTCGACTCTCTTCATTTTTATGCTGGTTGGACAGGTCAACAGTGAAAAGGAGTACAATGGCCCTATTGGATTCTTCAACCACACTTTGAAGGATGGTCATGTCACGCTTGATGAAAATTCTGTGAAGGTCAGAGAAGGAGACGTCTTCAACCTTACAAAGTACACGAATCATTCTGGGTCCTGTGATGTTGAAATCAAGAACGGAAGCATGTAAGTTTCTTCATGCTTTTTTTGCATCTCTGAAACAAACTTCATTCGTTTCAGTGTGCTCTACTACAAGAGGGAAAACGGAAAGAACATAAAGAACGATGGCTGCACTGTGGATCTGCTTACCAATCATTCAAACATGATCAATTTTAGGACTGGAGTGAAGATCAAACCTGAGGACTGCCTAAAAAATTGTTCAAGGCAAGAATTCCCTTTTGATGGTGCCAGCGCAAATCTGTTAGTTTTTGATTTTTCACTAGTCTAACAATCTATTTTAATTTATTTTTAGCCTTCCATTCGTCTACAGTTTAACAGAGAATATCACGAAACTTAAGAAAAGGCAGCTCTCTGAAGGAAATGATACGCATTGCTTAAAGTTCAAAGCGTGTGGCAACAATGAACAACTTTGCATGCCATGGACTTCTCTCGAGATTGCTTGGAACAAATGCATCTGGAAAGGCGATGATCATATTTTTGCTCACATCCATCCAAGTGAGCAATAAAAATCTTAATTATTTTTATCATTTATATTTTTTAGTTGGCGAGAAACTTGCTCAATGGACTATAAAGGATCTCAATGGTTCTGAAAAATTTGGTCTGACGATAGAGGAGGGCGGCTTCTCCATGGATTTGAAAGGAGTAAAGGAGGAGGAGGGGAAGTATAACCTAACTGATCAAAAACGGCAACATCCATACTGCGTTCCTAAAGGAAGAGGCTTTGTCAAACCTTCGAATTGGGAAATTATTGGGAAGAATCCTGCTCCAGAACATGATCATTTGCTTGTCTTCTACATGCTTCCACAGAGCGCATCTCGAAAGCACATTGATGGCAATGTCAATGTTGATCCTCCTGATGGTCCAAAATGTGAAGAACTCTACATTGAATTTGTAAGGAATTTGAACTCTCTTGTAAAATCCTTTCAAAAAACTTTTTATTCAGGACATGCAGAACTACACTCTTTTGTCTGTCCGCGATCCACCCACCACTACCACCACCACCACTACAACGACTACAACACAACCGCCAACTACCACCACTACAACCAGTTCAACGACCACCACATCAACACCGGCTGCTGTAAAGACGACAGAAAGGACGACGACAACAACAAAAAAACCTAAACATCGGAGCGATGACTTTTGGTTGGCTGCTTCATTTGGTGGATTATTTGCCTTCATAATGCTTTCCTGCTTTTGTTGTATAATGACCACGTCCTGCTGTGAGAAGAAGACCAATTTCTGCAACAAAACTTGTATAATGCTTCATGCAATAAACATCACCATCTTCACATTAATTGGACTCGGAGTCTTCTTCGTCTACACTATAGTGGATAATCCAAGTCCACTCATCGTCTTCATCCTCATTCTAAGTCTTACTTGCAGCTGTATAGTCTCGACATGTTGCATCGTTCACAAGTACTACAAATACGAAGAAAAGAAGTTAGACGACAAGGAAAGACGAAGGAGGGAGAAAGAAAAAAAGAAAGAAGAGGAAGAAAGGATCAAAAACAAAAAATATCAGAAGGAGTTGGAAGCTGTCATCGATGATTATATCGAATCCACCAAGGATTTCGAAGTAAGGAATATTTTTTATTAAATAAAAATAATTTTTTCTTCCTTTTAGGACATCAACCCTGAAGTGATCAAACATGCGAAGAAAGCTCAAAACCTACGGCCGCGTCAAATGCCTCTTCCACCTTACTGTTCAGTTGGTCTGAGCACGGATTCGGATCGACATCCGGTAAAACCCCTGAATTTTTTTAAAAACTTAATTGATATTTTTAGGTTGATCGGGAGAAGGACACGACTACAGCGAATTCACTGATGGGAGCCACGGAGACTTCAAAGATGGAGGAGGGCAAATCGAAGATGGAGGCCGCGGAACATTCGAAGATGGGCGGGAAATCGGAGGAGGCAAAGGTGGAGGAGAAATCGAAGATGGAGGAGAGCAAAGCAAAGATGGAGGAAAAGTCGAAGATGGGGGAGAAATCGAAAATGGCTACCACTGCGAATTCGATGATGGAGACCAACTCGAAAATGGAGGGGGAGGACAAGTCGAAGAGCAGCCAGCAGGAATGATGAGAGGACAATAAAAGAAGCTTCAAGTGTTCCAGAGAAGAAAAAATATGTGTGATTGTTGAAGAGAAAATTCAAAATAATAATTGTTGTTTTCCCTCAAAAATATATTTGTACCTATTTTCCTATATTGCCCTTCTATAATTACCCAAACATTTTGTTGTATAGTATTTGTTTCCCCCTAAAACCTATATTTGTAGCATTCAATATATATTGTTTGTTTGTATTGTTGTGATTGTAAAATAAATTGTTTTAGTAGAAAAGTCTTGAATAATACAAACATTAAGTTAGAATGTTCCATAAACACATTAAAACATCAAAATCTGAACTGAAAATATCAAAACACTTGAAAACAAATCAGAATTTAATAAAAACATGAGATACAACAACCAGTCAAAAATCAGAATTTCCTCAAAATCAGAACTAATTTGAAACATGCAGAAAATCATAATTTAAACAAACAAAATCAGAACATTTGTTGTAATTATATTGAAAAAAAACTATAGGAGACTAACTCCACGAAACGTTCCGTCTCAGGCCTTATTTTTCCTTGTATTTGTTCTCGTAATTTTACTTACTTGCCTAATTCATTTTTTGTATTCTTACTAGAGGTCGGCGCGGAATAGGATTTAAAATACTATAAAAGCCTTTTATTTTCTTCTTTCTACACCAGCCGACAAATTTCTTCTTCTAAAAAAAATTCTTCAAACGACACTTTCTCTACAAACAACAACAAGACATCAGGGCGTCATGCTCTTCTGGTTCGACGACGGATCCGGAACAAGAAAGGCTTCGACAACTCTGCGTTCGGCTACCACCATCTTGCCGATGTTCTTTGCTTCGACTCTCTTCGTTTTTGTGCTGCTTGGACAGGTCAACAGTGAGGGGGAGTACAATGGCCGTATTGGATTCTTCAACCACACTCTGAAGGATGGTCAAGTCACACTCAACTATTCTTCCGTTGCTGTCGAAAAAGGAGACGACCACAAGCTTGCTAAGTACACGAAGCTTTCTGGGTCCTGTGATGTTGAAATCAAGGGAAGCGGAAACATGTGAGTTTCTACAAAAATTTTAAATTTTTTGAAATAATTTCCATTCGTTTCAGTGTGCTCCACTACAGGAAAAACGGAGAGAAGAACATAAAGGGCGAAGGCTGCACTGTGGATCTGCTCACCAAGCATTCGAACATGATCAAGTTCAGGACTGGAGTGGAGCTCAATGATAAGAATGGTACATGCCTAGAAAGGTGTTCAGTACTTCATATCCTTTTTGATGATGCCAGTGCAAATCTGTTAGTTTTTCGTTCCCTACATAGTTTGACAATCTATTAGTTAATTTCAGGCTTCCCTTCGCCTACAGCTACAGTACAACTAAGCATAATATCACGAAACTTGAGAACGGTCCGCTCAAAGGAAATAAGGACGATTGCAGACATTTCGAAATGTGTGGAGAAGATGAACAACTTTGCATGCCTTGGACTTCTCTCGAGGTGGCTTGGAACAGATGCATCAAGGACGACGAAAATCCTCGTATCTTTGCTCACACCCATCCAAGTAAACCGAATAAATCCTTTAATTGTTTTGATCATTTAAATTTTTAGTTGGCGAAAAAGCGGCAAAATGGAATCGACCAAATGTCAATGAATTTGAGCTGACAATAACAGAAGAAGGCGGGTTCTATATGGATGAAGAATCGGACAATGTAAAATATGATCCCGACGATGAAAAAAAAGAAAACCATCCATACTGCCTTCCTAAAGGAAAAGGCATTGCCAAACCTTTGACTTGGAAAATCAATGGGATGAGTCCGGCTCAAGGATATGATCGTCTGCTTGTCTTCTACATGCTTCCACAGAGAGCTGCGCGAATTTACGACAACGGGTTAATCGACAAAGACAAATCTCCTGATGGTCCAAATTGTACAGAACTCTACATTGAATTTGTAAGGAATTTTAAATTTTCCCTTGTAAAATCCTTTCAAAAAATTTTCTGTTTATTCAGGACAAGGACCACTACAAACTTTTGTCTGTCCGCGATCCAACAACTACGACGACCACCACCACACCTACGACTACAACAACACCGCCAACTACCACCACCACATCAACAACGACGACTTCCGTAAAAACCACACAAACGACAACAACAACGACTGAAAAGCCTAAACCTCAGGATTCTCTCTTTGGGCCTACAGTCATTTTTATTGGAATTTTTGTTGGAATTATTGTTATCATCTCTTGTGGAGCTATGGGCATCTTTCTCTTCATGAAGGTAGTTTGTGATTACGGAGTGATTGTAGAGTATTTCTTTTTCTTTTCAGGCTAAGAAAAATAGGGCAAAATGGGAGGACGATGATAATTCGAAGATCACATCGGAAAAATCAAAAATGGGGGAAAAATCAAAGATGGAGGAGGACAAAGCAAAGATTGAGGCCAAGGCAAAGATGGAGGAAAAGTCGAAGATGGGGGAGAAATCGAAAATGGCGACCACTGCGAATTCGATGATGGAGACCAACTCGAAAATGGAGGAGGAGGACAAGTCGAAGAGCAGCCAGCAGGAATGATGAGAGGACAATAAAAGAAGCTATAAGTGTTCCAGAGAAGAAAAAAGATGTGTGATTGTTGAAGAGAAAGTTCAAAATAATAATTGTTGTTGTTGTTTTCCCTCAAAAATATATTTGTACCTATTTTCCTATATTGCCTTTATACCTATATAATTACCCAAACATTTTGTTGTATAGTATTTGTAATGTTCAATATATATTGTTTGTTTGTATTGTTGTAATTGTTAAATAAATTGTTGTGTTTGTAGAAACGACTTGATAGAGAGAAAACATTAACAAAGATCAGAATATTCTAAAAACATTTAAATAAGACCGAAAAAATCAGAATTTAATCAAAACATTGGAGAAAACAAGTCAAAAAATCAGAAATTCCTCTATAAAATCAGAATTTATCAAAAACAAAAAATCAGAACAGTATTAAAACAACAAAAACATTTAAAAATAAATCAGAATTTAATCAAAACATTAAATAAACATTGGAGAAGTTTAAACAAAACAAACAAATCAGAATTTCCTCTCACTATTTTTTTTGATTAACCCAAACAAAACAAAAAAATCAGAACATCTTCAAAACAACATAAACATCTAAAAACAAATCAGAATTTAACCAAAACATTAAATAAACATCAGAAAAGTTTAAATAAAACAAATAAATCAGAATTTCCTCTCATCAAGGTAATGTTTTTGTTGTTTAATTTAGCACAAACAAAAAAAATCAGAACACTATTAAAACAACAAAAACATTTAGCATAATTAACAAAATAAAACCATAATTTAATCAAAACATCAAAAATTTTCATTAAAACAAATAAAATAAATTTAAAATAAAATGTTTTGCGCATGTTTTACTTCTTAGAATTAAACACTCAATTCTTTCCTCAAAATTTGATAAGCAATTCTCTCACGGAAATAGGGAATGTGTTCCTGAGTAAATGTAATAGGCGCTCTACGCGATGCATATTCAGCAAACAAACAAGAAAATACTCCACAATCAGAAAGATTTCCTTGAGGAGGAATATTCTTTAAAATTAAAAAAAAAATTTTTTTTGGTTAAAAATTGGAATATACTTTAGCGTACCCCCTGCAGAAAAAAAACGTATCAAAGTACTCTCATTATCTATCTTTGTTAAAATAAAATAATTATTATATGGGGTTTGTGAACACGAAAATTAAAAATAATGGTAACAACTTTGGCTCGGGATATAGGGCTCGAAATGGTCAAAAATCATAGGGAGAGGGGAGTGGGCTGATTTTTGAGGTTAAAAATTCGATTATACAAATAATAAAAGGAATCTCGAGCTGGGTACGCTAAAAGTACAGCCAGAAAATGAAAGGGAAAAACCCTCAAAAAATTAAATTGCCATCCATTCATGTCCAAAGGAATTTGCCTTTTCTCCATAGATTCGTTAATAAGATATTCTCTAGAAAAAAAGAGATTTCGATAAATTTTTGGAAATTTTAAACAAAACTGTAACAATTCCAAACATTCAAAGTTGTCCTGATGCAAAGAATCGTAATAATCCATTTTGCGTTCTTCCAAATCAATAACCTTTAAAAAACAAATTTTTTGAACAATAATACTTAAGAAAGTCTTAGATTTAAATAAACCCTCAATTTAAGATGTTTTTTAAATCTGTTGGCTACTGGATCGAGTTTTTACCTAATAAGGTTGGGGGATAGTTGAAAATTTTCGGATATCCGGATCCGGTATCCGAACCGAAATTTTCCGGATATCCGGCCTTTTTCGGATCCGAATATCCGGATCAGCCAACCTTATTCCCTAAGCGATACAAACAATTTTTTAGACACACCTCACACTATTACACCATATTCAAGAGACTTTTTCTCGCCACCAATATGTATCAGATACAGCTAGCTCATTTTAAGCTACAATTCTAAGTCCCAAAGGAATTTTTTCAGTTTTTTTTTTTTAATTTTTCAGTCCCAAAAAAATCTCAAATTTTAATAATGTTTCGATTAAAAATTTTTAATTAAAATTAAAAAAAAATTTTTTTTACCACTAAACACCAATGAATAGACAAATGTATCGGAACAATAATTATTTGATTTTCAAAAATATCCTTATTTTTAGTCCAACGCTTAACACGTTCATATCCATTTGAAGACAAACTTGAATAAAAGAAGGAATTGAAAGCATAAACCTTTGAAAAATTTTTTAGAAATTAAAAAAAAATTTTTTTTTAACCTTGGGTAAATCATTATTATTATTGCTTCTATCAACAATTAAACTGGCATAAATGTTGATAACTGAAAAAAAAAATTTTTTTAATGGGGAAAAAATTTTTATTAGGGGAAAAGGATTATTTTTATAAGAGCCATTATCTATTCAGTTAAAGTTTTTTAATATCTTGCGGATAAAAATAAAAATGTTGTAAATTAAAAAATCAGCAAAACCTGTCCGCAGTTTTTTAATTTTTTTAAATAAAGATATATTTTTACGGACTTTTATAAATAATGAAAATGTCCACATCTTTCCCAAAAAATTTTCTCTTAAAAATCTTTGCGGATATCTAGAAAATTAAATGAGAAAAAATTCCGCAAAGTTTGTCCGCAAAAATATTTTTGTCATTTTTTCTCAATTTGAATTTTTAAAAATTAACAAAAAAAAATTTGATTTTTCAAACCTTCATCATTCAACCATTCATTCCAAAAAATAGTCATAAGGTCTTTTCTATTCAATTCAAAACCAGAATTTTTAACAATTATTTGATCATTTAATTTGGTATCGTAAATAATAATTGACATAGATCTTAAAGCATTATAAGACAAATCTGAAAAAAAATTTCAAAAATTTTTAAAAAAGAATTTTTCAAAAAGAAAACCTCTATAGCCTCTCGGTTTAGGTTTTTTAGTTAATGGCCATAAAATGAAGGCAAAGAAAGTTGGCCAGACAAGAAAATAAATTATATACCCATAAAAATACATTGATTTTAATGGCTAGAAAATTAAAAAAAATTTTTTTAATTTTAAAATTAAAAATATAGTCAACTCTCATTATAAGAGACTCCCTTTTAAGACTGAAAAAGAATTGTGCCTTATAATGAGGTGTATATCAAATTGGAGATATATCCTCTTAAAATAACTCCTCCACCCAATAGTCTAAGTTTTAAAAAGAGCGTCACTTAAATAGAGGTGTATCTAATATTGAGTGTATCTTATAAAGAGGTTTCTATAAAATGGTGTACCTAATGTGAGTATCTTTTAAATTGTGGGTTCACCCTCCCTAAAGGGCACCCAAATTTTTATAATGAGCGTCTCTTAAATCAAGGGTGTATCTAATATGTATAAGGGGGTGTCTTTTATATATAGAGGGGTTATAAATTTAAAAAAACCAACAGTAATCCAAATTTCCTTTTTAACAAGTCCAAAAGTCAAAAAAGCAAAAGCCATAGAAACACAAATATTTAAACGTCCAAATAACCAACAAAAAGGTTTTGCCCACCAAAGATTAATTAAATGACGAAATTGGGGAGGGCCAAAAGCAATAAATGTATATAACTTTAAAAAAATATAATTTGAATTTTAAATAGAATTTAAAAGGTAAATAAATTTTAGAAAAATTAATCCGCAAAATTTTGTCCGCAAAATTTTTGCGGACAAATTTTTGTCCGCAAAAATTAATATTCAGAAAAAGTCTACTCCTTTACAAGTACCCAAATTTTAATTTTTTTCAATAAAAATTTAATCAAATAATTTATTAAAAAATTAACAAAAAAAACCTGTTCTTGAGCCACCATACACATAAATTCAAAAGCAAATAACATAAAATAACCCAAATGATATCCATGCCAAACAGCCAAATATAAAAGTGTAATTAAATGGCTATAATATTTATTGCCTAGCCATTTAAGTCTTTTGAATATATGGCTGGAAATTTTGAAAAAAATTAAATTTTTGAACTAAAAATGAATTTTTTGGGAAAGACATTTGATCTCAAAAAGGACATTTGATCCAAAATGTCAAAAAACTAAGGTAAGCCCAAAAAAGTCCGCAAATATCTTCGAAAAATTTTTTGAGAAAAGAGTTATGAGCAAAAATAAGAAAAAAATAGATGAGAGACATTTGATCCCACATGACAAAAAAATAAGGTAAGCTAAAAAAAGTCCGCAAATATTGTCCGCAATTATTTTGAAAAAGATTTTTTGAAAAAAAAATTGATTTTTAATTCTTACCTACGTCCCTTTACCATATTTTTTGTCAAAATAATTATCCCCCCCCCCCCCCCCCCCCCCACAAAATTTGAAATCAAACTTTTTAGCAAATTCATTAGTACAACAATTAAAAGAGTCAATAACCGATTGAAAATCACTTCCCAATTCCCATTTAATAATATTAATATTTCTAGTTCCATTCCATTTATCATCCCCATTTAAATCTTTTCCATTATAAGAAATTCCACACAAAATTGAACTTCCCTCTGTTAAAAGCCAAGCAACACAATAACGATACATTGTTGATTTAAACCAAATTGTATTCCAAACTATTTTCCAAAATAATGGAAGGGACTTGAAATTTTTTGAAAATTATTTTTTAAAAGGTCAAACATCATTATAGGATACCCACTTGGGAGTAAAAAATTTGTGTCTTGTAATGAGATGTCTCTTAAATTGGGGGTATCATTCAAGAAGCTTTTCAAATCTAACGGTTAACCAAATTTAATAATAAAGGGTTATTTAAAAGGTATCGCCTAGACAGCTCCCAAATCTAATTGTTTTGGGAGTCAACCAAAGAGTCAACCAAGTCAACCAAAATTGTATCATAAATTAAGGAGATCTTTCAAAGAAGTCCTGACATAATTAAAATATTTAAAAAATACCAAAAATTCAGGAGAATTAAAATAACTGTCAGGCACCCAAACAGTCCCCCATTTATACAAAACAGCAAAAAATACACCAACAACAAAACGTTGAAGACTTGCCATTATACTTTAAAAATTAAATTAATTTAAAAAAAATAAAAAATTTTTAAGCCCTAAGTTTTATCCGCAAAAATAATCCGCAAGTTTTATTAGCAAACCACTCAAATTTTTGCGGATTTTGTTACGGACAAAAGTTGTCGATTTTTTATACTTATTTTTGGACCTCTTGGACTTCATTTAATTACTTAAGAAAATGTCCGCAAGTTATGTCCGCAAATTTTTAATTTGTCCGCAAATATTAAAACCTAAAAAATTCCAAAAAACCTGGATTGTCTAACTTCATTCCTTTCTTTATCCAAATAATCCCCCTTAACAAATTCTCTAAAACGTTTTAAAGAAAAATGAGGGCCAGTAAGCGTTCCACTAAAACAAAAAGCAAAAGCTGCAATTTCCAATAAATTTGGTTTGTCCGTTATTGCTGTTTTTGATTGTTGCTAAAAATTGAAGAAAGTTTACTAGTTAAATGTAAGTTTGTGGGCTTCTCCAACATAATACTTATTGTTCTATTTAATCGGACGTCACGTGTGTGATTGAATTGACGTCTTATAAAAGTGAAGTGATAGAGGGATAAGCCATTCTCCTCCATCCCCTTATTTTAAACCGGAAGATGAATAAACCCACATTGTGTAAACTTGAAAACGAGGGAATAGGGAGTAAAATGAAAGATAAAAGGGGCCTATAAACGGGTCTGTAACCTATTTTCGTATTAATCCCCCCCCCCCCCAAAAACCTGTAAATGTCCATCATATACATCCATAACTAAAGCAGTCATTTTTAAAGTCAAAATACAAAAAGGTGTAGTCCATGTAATATCATAAGTTGAAGATTCCACAAACCAAATACCAATTAATAAATGCCCCTTTTTAAAGAAAAAAAATTAAAAAAAAATTTTTCAAAAAAAAATACTAAAAAGAAAATATGTGCAGCAGCAACAGAGAGAGCAGTTCCAGGAATTAAATTGACAATTAAATAGGCAATAATTATTGAAAAAATTGTGTGGATGATGGCTACACCTGTGAATTAAAATAGGAAAAAAATTTAAAAATTATTTAAAAATCCGCAAATTTTGTCCGCAAATTATAAAATGTGTGCAAAATTTGTAAAAAATTATTTTTGTCAAAATAAAAATATTTGCGGATAAAACCTACGGATTTATGCTACCAACAATAAATAAAAAATAAATTCAAATAAAAGAAAAATTTTTTTAAAAAGGGGTCATTTGGGTCAAAAATGTCAAATTCATTTTTTCCCTTAAATCAAAATCCCGAAAAATCCCCCCCCCCCCAAAATTAAAAAAAACAAACCACAAAAAAACAAATAAAGCAGCACACCAGTAACCACAAAAAATACATGTTGAAACCTTTCAGGTAATTTATAAATAAATGTTCGGTAAATAATAGCTAAAGGATAACAAGCCAAAATTGCAACAAGTAAACGCAAAGCATCCTCCTCTGAACCAATTATTTGAGATAGATAATCCGTAAAAGTTGCCATTTTTAATGTTTTACATAGTTTTTCTAAAGAACAAAAAATTAAAAAAAAATTGGAAGAAGTGAAAATGCAAGTAAATTTAAATGATCATTCCATTATTCTCAAAAGGGGACACGCCCAAGTAGACGCGCGGCCATAACGGCGCACAGCATCTTAAAATAGGCAGAGGCTGTTACTCGCCTTTCAGTGCTGTTTCAGCACTATGGTTTCAGTGCCAGGATTTCAGTGCCAGGGTTTCAGTGTGTGCTCTATTTAAGTGAATATGAATTGTATGCAATTATTAAAATGGAATGTTAATCATTTTATTTAACATTTAAAGGCATTTTAAATGAAAATAAATTTTTTCAAAATAGGTTTTTCCCTTTATTTTTCATTTTCTAAATTTAGTTACAAACCCATGTGTAACTTTTATAAAACATGTGAAAAAACGATAAATTTGGTTTTAAAACAAAGATAAGACTTTGTTTAACGATTTAGTTAAGATAAAATTTTTTTTTCTAAGTTTTTTTTCGAGATAAAGCTTCTCGAAGTTGCAACCTCCAAATCTTTAGAAAATAGCACGCGAAAGAAATAGTGGGGAAAAGAAAAAGATACTGTATTTTTATTTTTTCAGTGCCACTGAAACGGCTTAAAGTAACAGGTTAAGATGCTGTGACGGCGCAAAGCCATAACTTGCTGAAAAATTTGTGACCCTTATCAATTTTGGTATCAATCTCTTTAGCTCGACGAGAGGAATCGTTTAATACTAAATTTGGTAAGATTCGGAAATCTTGAAGCGAGTTATGGCTTTGCGCCGTTATGGCCGCGCGCCTACTTGGGCTGTACTCTATTCTGCGGTTAAGGACGATTCAGTATCGCCGATTCAGTATAGCCGATTCAGTATCGCCGATTCAGTATCCGCCGATTCAGTATATGGCCATAACTTTCCTGATATTCGACCGATTCGAATAATTCTCATATCATTCGAAAGGTCTCGTGATTCGACATCTTTTTCATAATTGGCCCGATCAGATCTGATGATCACAAAAAAAGTTACAGCGTGAAAACCGATTTTTTATGCCTGTGACGTCGTTTATCAGTGATAACTTTTTGTAGAGTGATCAGATCAGGTCAGTCCAATTATGAAAAAGATGCAGCACCCCAAGGCCTATCAAATCATATATAATAATTCCCACAATATTGATCGAGCAAAAAGTTATGGCCAAAAAGCTCGAATACTGAATCGGCCAATACTGAATCGGCGATACTGAATTGGCGATACTGAATCGGCGATACTGAATCGTCCCCTACCCCTATTCTGAAAGAAAACAGAATTTTTCTCTCTCCAATTCTCTTTTCTATTTTTCTTTCTCTAATTATAACTGTGTCTAGTTTTTTGTTAAATTATGTGATTCTTCAAAATATCTAACTTTCGTTTTGCCCAACAGAACAAATTCAGACATTTCGTCTCAATATTCTCTCCCTTTTTAAATTTATTAACCTCCCTTTTTCCTAATTTGAGAGATAACCTTGAAAATCATAAAGCATGTAATCCTTCTTGCAGAATACCTCATTATTATGAGGATTATATTTTTTCCCGCTTAATATGTGTGCTAAATCCGGGTCAAAAATAGAGGAATTTTTTTAATTTTTAGGGCATTATAAAAGCTTAAACGCTGGAAGCTTAATTTAGTTACCGTAAATACTCCAATTAAAGCCCGGCTCTATTAGAAGCCCATATCTAAAATACAAGTCCACCCAAGGGGGCCCATCGAAAAATAAACGTCCATTCCCTAATAGAAGCCCATATCTAATACAAGCCCACCCAAATTGACACTGAAAAATAGACGCCCAGGGCCTTAATTAGAGCATCTACGGTAATTTATCATTTTAAGTATGTCGTGTTTGTTTAATTACTTCCTTATTGGAGCTCTGCTCTTCTCTATGCCTATTTTCTCTATGGCTAATTTGCCTGATAGTTCTGCAACTCAAACTATGGAGTGAGTTTCTTTTCTTTTTACAATTCAAAATTCATTTTTCTCTCAGTTATTCTCATTTTGAAGAATCTGATATGCTGCTAGACAAGGACGATGAATGGCTTCATTATTTGTTATATTCGGCTAGCTTCATGATTGGGTAATTATTAAAGATTGAAATGGTTATAGGCTGAGGCCGCCTTAGACTTTTATTGTGTCTGGATTTTCTTACTAACCACAGACTCAGATTCGGCCCAGAACAATGGATTTCAGAAATTAGTCCAAGGCCAATTAGAGTGGGGCCTGGGACAAGGCTCGGATTGTTCCTGTACCCTAAACCCAGGCATTTTTGGGATTAATAGACTTTTAGTATGTCTTAATTTTTCCCCAAACTTCAAGGCATTGGATTTCAAAAATTTTTCCAAGCCCAACTAGGGAGGAGGGTTTGGGTCAATGGAGGAGGGTTTGGGTCAAAATCTACTAGGATCTTAGTGGGTCTGAATATTTTATGAATCACAGACCCAGATTCGGCCCAGTGCAGTGGATTTCAAAAATTAATTTAAGCCCAGACCCAAATTTAAAAGAATCAATAAATCTTCAAAATAATTTTTAAAAGCTCTTTCATAATTTGGGCAATTGTGCGTTTTTGTTTGGTCGTTCCGCGTTATAAGAAAATTCAACAAATGGAGCAATACTATAAATTGCTCAAGAACGAGTACAAAAGTGAGCGTGAATTGATGTCTGGTCAAAAAGAAATTGTGGTATCGGCTGAGGAAAAAAGTGAAAGGGTGAGGGAAATTTTTAAAAATTTTTGAAAATTTTTTTTTAAGTCAGTACTTGCTACTACCAGCGATCTCAGCAGAAATTACAGTGATATTCCAAGTTCTCTCAAATCTGACAAACCAAAAATTAAAAAGGAACCTGTGGTCGCCGAGACGAATAAATCGGTACGTCTTCGACCTAAACTGCATACAACGGATAAAGGTTAGTAAAAAAAGTTTTTTTAGTGGCTTGAACCTAAATTATTCTAAAACAGGGAGAACTTTTTTGAAATTATTTTCCCTTCATTAAGGGGTGGTTATTCCAATGACTTCTTTTTAAAACGTCTGTGGAGGGGTTTTAGGAGGGAGGAAGCAGGCACGAGGATTTGTTCGGAGTCTGGGGCAAGGCACTAAGGGCGTAGAAAGCAGGGTGATTTCATTGTATTTTTTTCTCTCTTCCCCCATCTCGAAGTGGGGGCTTCAGCCCTCCACTACTATACTCTTACAAGGCACTGATAACGATTGCGCAGGTTAGTTCGTTGCCCGATGGCTACTCTTACTCCACTTCTAATAAGCCATTAAAAATGTTTAGGGCAGCTATTTTTATTTTTAAACGCTTTACGCAAAAAAAAACATTTTATTTTTAAAGGCCCAATTCTCGTCTCTGATAGCAGCAATTATGAAGAAATTGGAAATGTTCATGTTGATGATATTTATTCTGCTCCTCAACAGCCTTCTGTTCCAGAAAATCTTCCAATACTTTCTCCACCCACTAAATCTATTAAATCTGCAAAGCTTTTTAGTGACGAAATGGAAGATGCTGTGCCTTTCAATACTGTCCCGTTGTCGATGTTGAGTGATGCTGGTAGAGGTCTTAAATTACAACAAACTGCTGCCCAACTGGAAGAGGATCAAACTCCGTTTATTGTTGAAACGAAGGAAAAGGCTACTGAAGGTTTAATAAAAAATAAAATAAAGGGGGGTTTGGGGTAATTTATGGGGACATAGAGGGCAAGGGCGTAGCCAGGGGGGGGCTTCTGGAGCTAAAGCCCCCCCCCCCCCGAAATCGACCCCCTGGCTACGTCCTTGCTAGAGGGGGGAATGATTCTCAGTCAGGGGGAGATGGCGCCACGGAAGAGGGGTCTCAAATTCAATGATCCTCTGTAGGGTTGCCAAAATGGACCGACTCGGACCGAAAGATCGAGTCAGGTCTCGATGTTTGGCCCGAAAAAGTCTCGTACCGGCCCGACTCGATAAAGTTGGGCCCGAAAAAGACTCGTAACGGCCCGACTCGATAAAGTTAGGCCCGAAAGTGACTCGTACCGGCCCGACTCGATAAAAACAGGCCCGAAAAAAATTGTCTCGGAAAAAGTCGGCCCGACTCGAACACGACTCGATAATATTTTTACCAGATTTGTGGACAAAAATGGGAGAAATCTGGCTCCTTGGCATTCCAAAATTCGAAAAATTTTCGCCTGCGGCGCTGAAATGAAGAATTTTTAGCTCCATACTTTGCTTCACATCTCGAACTTACTGGCTTTAATCGATAAGCTGGATTACTGGGATTTATAGGATATATTCCGCGGGATCCCATCATCATTTGAACTTTTTAAACTCAATCAGTTTTGAGAGTCCACAATTTTCCGCAGTCCGCAATTTTAACTTTAAAATACGCAGTCGTAATCTTCAGTCCACAAGTCAAAAACACACAATCTTACGCAATCCGCAGTCCACCATCTGGGATATAAGGTGTAATCTTGGAATATAAGGCGGTTTGAGAGATTAAGTCAAGGGCGTATCCAGGGGGTCCAAAATTCTCAAAATTTTCGCCTGCGGCGCTAAAAATAGAAGAAATCTGGTTTCCTGACTTTCCAGTAAGCCCTTATCTAAATACGAATAGTTCAATCATGGTACACTGGGATTTTATTAAGGGATTTGGTTATTAACGCACAATATCACTTAAATCTTGCGTTATCCTTCAAATCTCCGATATCCATTCAAATCTCTTCAATCCTTTTAAATCCCATTACAATATAACACCTTGATTATCTGATATGCGATCCTGATCCCCTTAATCATCTGATCTCCTTTAATAAAACCAAATCTAGCAATATCTCACACCAATCCTCCGATAATTTAAATCACATTAATCCCTCAAATCCACTGATATCCATTTCAATTCTCTTCAGCCCTTCCTTTACCCTCCTGATCCATCGATATACCTTTTAATTCACAGATATCCCTCCAAATCCACTAATTATTTTTAAATAAATCTTTTAAAAAAAGACTCGAAAATGTCTCGGTGCCCGACTCGATAAAGTCAGGCCCGAAAGTGACTCGTTCCGGCCCGACTCGATAAAGTTAGGCCCGAAAAAGACTCGTATCGGCCCGACTCGATAAAGTAAGGCCCGAAAAAGACTCGTACCGGCCCGACTCGATAAAAACAAGCCCGAAAAAAAATGCCTCGACCGTCGGCCCGACTCGAAAACGGCAACCCTAATCCTCTGGGGTGAAACAGGGGTCGGTCGGAAATGATGACTATCAAAAATCGGAAATTTTCTCATAATTTTGGAACCAGAAATCGAAAAAAACGGAGGAGATAGTGATTCCGACTGATCTTTGGGGTGGAGTAGAACCGTAAGGACTTCAAAAGAAATTCATGACCTTGAATCCTAACCGAGGTTTGGTGTTTAAGCAAAATTCTGGGCCTTTAAAGAATAGACTCTTCAAGTTCCAACAGTTAGACCCACGGTTCCGCTCCATAAAAAATTTACTGAAACCGCCCAACAATCTTTATGCCTCTATGTGGGGGCATAAGATCTTTTAACTTAATTTTTTCTTAGAAAGCACTGAAGAAGAAAAAGGTTCGACAGAAGGAGGAACAAGTTCAACAACAGAACATGATAAGGAAGAAAATGAAGAAGATCAGATTTATAAGACTTGAAGTTGTTTAGAATTGAGGTTTAATTGTGTTATTGTTCTTATGGGTATATTTATTTTTTCTGTGTTTTATACATAAAATAATAGGTAAAAATATTTTAAGTTAAAAATTTTTTCTTTTTATTTTTAGAAATTCAATTTAATTTTTGAGATTTATGGTCAATCAAAAAAAAAAGATTGATTGCTTTGTTTGAGTTCATTTCTTATTTCGTCTTTTTTTTTGAAAAAAAGGGTGTAGGGTAAATTAGGGTGTACTTACTTCTTTTCCCCCTCATTTCCTTTCTTTTTCCTTTTTTCTAAGCGAATATTTTTTTTTGTGTTGAGTATATTGATTTATTATTTAGAAAAAAATTTTTCTTATCATTCGACTTATCATTTTTTTATTTTGCAAGTGGGTCACTTGTCTACCCATATCGTTTTTTTTGCAAAATAATTTTTTCATTCAGTTAATTTTTGATAAATATCTGCAGACCTCACTTATAGATATACCCTTGGGGATAAAAAATTTTTCGCTTATAATGAGGTGTCGATTAAATAGAGAGTATATTTTAGACAGTTCCCCAACTCTGTGGGCAACCAAAATTAAAAAATGTCTTTTAAATAGAGGTGTACCAGTATTGAGTGTATCTTATTGAGAGGTTTCTAGGAAATTGAGGGGGTAACTTATAATGAGGTGTCTCTTAAATAGAGGTGGTATCCCCTCCCAATGGGCAACCAAATTTTTAAAAAATGTCTCTTAAATAGAGGTGTGCCTAGTATTGGGAGTATTTTTTTGAGAAGTTTCTTGAAAATTGAGGCTGTATCTTATAATGGGGTGTCTCTTAAATAGAGGGTATCTGCTCCAAATGGCCCAATAAAAATTTTTTAAGAATGTATATTGCATAGAGGTGTGCCTAATATTGAGAGTATATTATAGTGAGTGTTCCTAGAAAATTGAGGGTGTACCTTATAATGGGGTGTACCTTAAATAGAGAGTATCCCTTCCCATTGGCCTACCAAAATTTTTTAAAGAACGTATATTACATAGAAGTGTGCCCTATATTGGGAGTATCTTGTTGAGAGGGTTTCTAGAAAATTGTGGGTGTATCTTATAATGAAGTGTCTCTTAAATTGAGGGTGTATTTATAAGTGAGGTCCTTAATTTTTAATTTTTTCAGAAGTCATTGAAAAATGACTATAAATTATTTATCTCAAATAATTGGTTCAGAAGAGGATGCTTTGCGTTTACTTGTTGCAATTTTGGCTTGTTATCCTTTAGCTATTATTCACCGAACATTTATTTATAAATTACCTGAAAGATTTCAACATGTATTTTTTGTGGTTACTGGTGTGCTGCTTTATTTGTTTTTCTGTGGTTTGTTTTTTTTTAATTTTTTGGAGGGGAATTTTTTGAATTTTCATTCAATTTCAATGAAGAGAATTTAATGAATCGGACATTTTTGACCCAAATGGGCATTTTTATTAATATTTTTTGGTGGATTTTTGGGGGTCTTTGAATTTTTTATAGAAATTCTTAGAATTTATTATTTTGAATTTTTTAAAGAATAAGGGATTTTTTTAGGAAAAACTGTTTTTACATTTGTGACCCAAATGAGCCCTTTAAAAAAAATTTTTTGCTTTTAAGTAAATTTATTCTTTTATTTATTGTTGGTAGCATAAATCCGCAAGTTTTATTTGCAAATATTTTTATTTTGGACAAAAATAATTTTTTCACAAATTTTGCACACATTTTTATAATTTGCGGACAAAATTTGCGGATTTTCAAAAAAAATTTTTTAATTTTTATTTTACAGGTGTAGCCATCATCCATACAATTTTTTCAGTAATTATTGCCTATTTAATTGTCAATTTGATTCCTGGAACAGCTCTTTCTGTTGCTGCTGCACATATTTTCTTTTTAGTATTTTTTTTTTGAAAATTTTTTTTTTAAAATTTTTTTCTTTAAAAGGGGCACTTATTAATTGGTATTTGGTTTGTGGAATCTTCAACTTATGACATTACATGGACTACACCTTTTTGTATTTTGACGTTAAAAATGACTGCTTTAGTTATGGATGTATATGATGGACATTTACAGGTTTTTTTGGGGGGTTTTTTGAATTTTTTTTTTAAATTTCAGATTGGGTATTTAGTCCGTTTATAGCCCTCTTTTTTCTTTCATTTTATTCCCTATTCCCTTACTTCCAAATTTTACTATCTTGTTTCTAAATTTTTTTACTGTCCAAGCTTGAAGGAACGTTTAATTCTTTTGTATTATCCCAAATATTTTTGCGGACAAATTGGGATTTTTGAACTTTCGAAAGCCCTATTTTCTTTTTATTTCCCTCTACCCTCAAAATTAATCCATTCTTGGTTGATTCAGTTATTTGGGGTAAAATGCTAAAATAACGAAAAATGAATTTTTAATTGGGATTTATTGTGGGGTTTTTAATTTTATGTATTTGGCTTCATAAACTTAAAAAAATCGCAAAAAATTTTCTAGACCGCCAAAAATGGTCACTAATAGGATCCTTTGTTTTTTATTAAAAAAATTTTTTTTAGAAAAAATCAGAGCAACAATCAAAAACAGCAATAACGGACAAACCAAATTTATTGGAAATTGCAGCTTTTGTTTTCTTCTTTAGTGGAACGCTTACTGGCCCTCATTTTTCTTTGAAACGTTTTAGAGAATTTGTTAAGGGGGATTATTTGGATAGAGAAAGGAATGAAGTTAGACAATCCAGGTTTTTTTGAAATTTTAAAAATTTTAATATTTGCGGATAAATAAAAACTTGCGGACAAAACTTGCGGACATTTTCTTAAGAAATTAGAAGAAAGTCCAATAGGCCGAAAATAAATATAAAAAATCCGTATCTCTTTGTCCGCAAGAAAATCCGAACAATTTGCATAGTTTGCGGATAAAACTTGCGGACTATTTTTGCGGACAATTTAAAGATTTGCGGATAAAACCTGCGGACATTTTCCTTTCTAATCAGGGTGGCCCTTTTACCCTATTTATAGAGGATTTTCCCTATTTTTGACCTTTTCGCCCTATTTTTTCCCTATTTTCTCATTTGCCATATTTTTGCCCTATTTTTACCATCTTGCAAAATTTTAAAAATTCTTAGAATTTTGTAAAAAATGGTAAAAATGAAGGATTTCTGACTTCCTGGCCTTCCAAAATCCTCAAAATTTTCGCCTGCGGCGCTAAAAATGGAAGAAATTTGGCTTATTTGCCATCCAAAATTCTCAAATTTTCGCCTGCGGCGCTAAAAATAGAAGAAATGTGACTTCTTGGTCTTCCGAAAGTCTCAAAATTTTCGCCTTATTAGAAATTTAAATTATGTTTAAACTTTTAAAGCTACATATGCCCTAATTTTTGCCCTATTTTTGACCGATTTCGCCCTATTTTTGCCCTATTTTTGAGTGGCTGCGCCCTATTTTAGTGTTTTGGAAGGGGCCACCCTGTTTCTAATCAAAAGAATGTCCAAAATGCCCAAACTATGTGACAAAAGATTTGCAAGTTTTATCCGCAAATATTCAATTGTCCGCAAAATATACTTTTGCGGACAAAAACTTGCGGACTTTTTAAATTTTTTCTTTAATTAATTTAATTTTTAAAGTATAATGGCAAGTCTTCAACGTTTTGTTGTTGGTGTATTTTTTGCTGTTTTGTATAAATGGGGGACTGTTTGGGTGCCTGACAGTTATTTTAATTCTCCTGAATTTTTGGTATAAAATTTTTTTATTTTCTTTAAATAGTCGATATTCCTTAATCTAACAATAGGATACTTTTTTAAATTTTGGTTAACCAATGGATTTGGGAGCTGCCTAGGCGATGCCTTCTATTTAATAAACCCTTCATTATAACGTACATTTTCCAGAAAACCTCTCTTTAAGATACCTCCGATATTAGATACACCTCCATTTAAAAGACGTTTTTTAGATTTGGTTGGCTATTGGGATTGAGGTGCTCCTAAGCGATACCCTCTATTTAAGAGACTCTCATTATAAGATACAAAATTCTTTTCTCACTCCCAAGTGGGGATCCTATATTGAGGTTTGACAAGCCACCTCGAATGTCAAAAATCTTGTTAATATTCTTTTGAGATCAATTTTTGGGATCAAATGTCTCATCCCCCATTAATCCATTTTTTAAATATTTTTGTTATACTAATGAATTAATTTTTCAAAATTTTTCAAGTCCCTTCCATTATTTTGGAAAATAGTTTGGAATACAATTTGGTTTAAATCAACAATGTATCGTTATTGTGTTGCTTGGCTTTTAACAGAGGGAAGTTCAATTTTGTGTGGAATTTCTTATAATGGAAAAGATTTAAATGGGGATGATAAATGGAATGGAACTAGAAATATTAATATTATTAAATGGGAATTGGGAAGTGATTTTCAATCGGTTATTGACTCTTTTAATTGTTGTACTAATGAATTTGCTAAAAAGTTGGGTTTTAAATTTTATTTTGGAGGGAAGGGGGGAGGGGATTTTTTGGAAGATCCGCCAACCTTAAATATGTAATAGGGAAATATTTTTTTGACAAAAAATTTCCTTTCATTTTTTGAGAGGGTGAGAGACATTTGATCCCAGATTTCAAGAAAAAAAGATAAGAATTAAAAATTAAAAGAATTTTTTAAAAATCCGCAAATTTTGTCCGCAAATTATAAAATGTCAGCAAAATACGTGAGAAATTATTTTTGTCCAAAATAAAAATATTTGCGGATAAAACTTGCGGATTTATGCTACCACCATTAAATAAAAAATAAATTCAATTGAAAGAAAAAATTTTTAAAAAGGGCTCATTTGGGTCAAAAATGGAAAAAATCGTATTTTCTGAGGAAATCCTTATTCTTAAGAAATTCAAAATACATTCGATTTAGCAAGCCACCTCGAATGCCAAAAAAATCATTTCTGACTTCTTTTGGGATCAATGTTTTTGGATTAATTCTTGGGATCAAATGTCATCCTCCAAATAATTTTATTTTTAATCTAATTAATTCCTTTTCAAAATTTCCAGCCATATATTCAAAAGACTTAAATGGCTAGGCAATAAATATTATAGCCATTTAATTACACTTTTATATTTGGCTGTATGGCATGGATATCATTTGGGTTATTTTATGCTATTTGCTTTTGAATTTATGTGTATGGTGGCACAAGAACAGGTTTTTTTTGTTTAATTTTAAAGAATTATTTGATTAAATTTTTATTGAAAAAATTAAAATTAGGGTGCTTGTAAAGGAATAGACTTTTTTTTTTGAATATTTTTGCGGACAAATTTTTGCGGATAAATTTTGTCCGCAAAAATTTTTGCGGACAAAATTTTGCGGATTAATTTTTAAATTTATTTACCTTCTAAATTTAATTTAAAAATTAAATTATTTTACTTAAAGTTATATACATTTATTGCTTTTGGCCCTCCCCAAATTCGTCATTTAATTAATCTTTGGTGGGCAAAACCTCTTTGTTGGTTATTTGGACGTTTAAATATCAGTATTTCTATGGCTTTTGCTTTTTTGACTTTTGGACTTGTTAAAAAGGAAATTTGGATTACTGTTGGTTTTTAAGTTAAAACCTCTATATTAGACACCCCAATATTAGATACACCTCTATTTAAGAGACGCTCTTTTTAAGAATTTGGGTGGCCATTAGGGTGTGGGGGGATACCCCCAATTTAAGAGACACCCCCATTAGGTATATCATTTTATAGAAACCTCTATATAAGATACACTCAATACTAGATACACCTCTATTTAAGCTACGTTTTCTAAAATTTGAACTAATGGGTGGTGGAGTTATTTTAGGAGGATATTTCCTCAATTTAATATACCACTCATTATACGGCAGAGGTGGGTCGGAATTCCTATTTCCGACGTTTTTTCCTTCCGATTTCCAAAAAAAGTTTGATTTCCGAGTTCCAAGTTCCGACTTTTGAGCCAGTTCCGATTTCCGGCTCTTCCGATTTCCGGTACCTCTGACTGTTCCGACCCACCTCTGCTATAAGGGACACTTTATTTTCGGCCTTAAAAGGGAGTCTCTTATAGTGAGAGTTGCCTCTATTTTAAATTAAAAAAATAGATTTTTTTAATTTTTTAGCCATTAAAATCAATGTATTTTTATGGTTATATAATTTATTTTATTGTCTGGCCAACTTTCTTTACCTTTGTATTGCGCCCATTAATTAAAAAACCAAAAATTTTAAAAGAAGAACAAAATGGTGTTATAATTAAAAATTCTCCTGTTGCTACACAGATTAATGAAGAAAAGAAGGAAAAATGAAAAAAATTGGTGGTAGATTTTAAAATATTTTTTAAAATGCATTAAAAAATTTATATTATTAAAAAATATGTCGGCAAGAAAATAAAAGAGGAAATTGGAAGGGATTGCTTCAATTCAATTTTTTCAACAAGGATTATGTAGTTTCCTCAGATGTCCATTTCGTCAGTAATATGGTTGCCAAAATGGACTAACTCGGACCGAAAGACTCGAAAACGGCAACCCCTAAATTGACTCGTAACGGCACGACCCGATAAAAATAAGCCCGAAAACTCGAAAACGGCAATCCTATTCAGTAAGACGCCCTTTTTAAATACAAAAATGTAGATGATTACTGACATAGTTTTCTTTCCTCCGATATCATTTTTAATTTCTAAAATGGAGATAACGCGGGATTTAGAATGATTAAGGAGGATATTAGGAAATTTTGACGGATATCAGGGATTTGAGTGTACCCTCTAAAGTATCCTTTTCTGCCGACATAACCGAATCTCTTTAAATCAAAAATTTAAATTTAAAAAAAAAGTTAAATTGAGGTTGCTATGCTACAACACAATGTGAAATCGATCAAAAAATCAAAAAAATTCCGCAAAAAATTTTGCGGATTTTTTTTTGACTTGCGGATTTTCTGCAAATTATTTTTGTTTGCGTATAGCTTTAAAAACCTTAATTTTATATTATAAATTTTGACTTTTATGTTGATATACATACATATTTTTAGTCATTTTTAAAATATGGTAAAATTTATTATATAAGGTAGAAAATTTTTTTTAAACAAATTGTTTTTTTTTTAACATTAACCCTTACAAAGGAGACTATATTGGGTGTCCGTGGGTCTTCGGGATGAAATTCTGTAGACAGGTAGATTTTCGTGAAATTTTCACCATTTCCGCTATATGGGAATGTGGACAGATATAAGCTTCCCAGAGGTTTCTTTTCCTCATAATTTCTTTTAAATACCAGTCTACAAAATTTCACCTCAAAGTGCCACGGACACCCCTCTTTTTCGTTAGATTTTAAAAAAATTTGTGAAAAAAATGCTTTTATGCCAAGAAATGTGTTTAAAATACTGTATAGCTAAATAAAATAAAAATTATGTACAATGTCGGTATCCAAGTTTCAATTTTACCTTCAAAATTTTAATTTTGAAGGTAAAATTCAATTCATCCCTCAAAAAATCTTTTTTCCTTTTAACGTTCCCAGATTTTTGTGTTCGGGGGACCTATGGTTAGTTAGTTTTTGTGAGTATATCTTTTAGCTTCAAATAGCCGAGACACCGACATGTACATATCACATCTTTTAACACTTTTTAGTTTTGATGAGGGTATTTATCTAAAATCTAAGAGGAATGGTTTACTTGGAGACCCAAATCAGTGATGTGCGCGTAAAAATTTTCAAAACTCAAGACCAAAAAAAAAACTCCAGGAAAAGTTTCAAGTCCAAAAAAATCCTGGACGTCCTGGACACTTCAGGGGCCTATGCAAATCAGATCATATCTCAGATATGACGTGTCATATTTGTGACTAGAGTCCGACATTTGGTCAATGATGGTCAGTTAGTGGGTTAAATGTCGGACTCTAGTCACAAATATGACACGTCATATCTGAGATATGATCTAATTTGCAGAGGCCCCAGGGGACTAAGTCTTGGACATCTCTACGAAATACTCTCTGGAAACTAAATATTAGTAATGTTTCTAATTACGTGTTCTAAACGACAAAATATCACATTTGTTACAGTATTCTTTAGAAAATATTTTTGACTACCGTAAATTCTCTAAAATAGCCCCCCCTTTTGAAATAAGCCCTCTCTAGAGGTCGATCGAAAAAAAGCCCCGTGGATTATTTTAGAGGATTTACGGTATTTTAGTTTCCAGAGGGCATTTTTTCAGTTCCCACCCAAAAATAAATATAAAAAAATGAAAAATAGAGCCCAATTTTACGTTAAATAAAATAATCTTCTTTAGTCTTTTCGGTTTTCCCTTTTTCAATTCTCATCCAAAATTTTTTAAAAAAAAATTCATTTTCTTCCAAGGCGAATTACTTTCTCTTCACTACTGCCACTTGACTTGCTTGTAAGTTTACCCATCAATTTACTAAAGCCTTTCCCCAATTTAGCTATCCCTTTACCCAACTTCTTCTTCCTTTTAGGGCTTTCATGCATCGGCATATAACTCGAAGTTGCTGGTATTTCTGGTGTAAAGTATGGGGTTACATTCCCATAAGTTTCTTCTTCTATATGTCCTTTTAAAGAATTAATTATTGCTTCAGCATGTATCTTGTTGTACACTGGTGTAACAGCAGTTTTCTATGAATAGATAATTTAAAGAAAATTACCGAAGGAACATTTTTTGATTTTTCCTATAAGATGATTTTCCAAAGAATGCCCAGGATAAGTGGTGTACCTCAGAAATGCGAGGGACATCCTGTGGGATTCCATCGCGAAACAGGATCCCACATCGAAAAAGGACCCTACATCGTCCACAGGATAGAGACGGAGGTGAGCGAGGATCTCACAGGGGAGTTACTCACGATATTTGTATATTTTTGGGATTAACTCAGCAGGATCCTTCCCGTTGGGTCTTCATCTGGTATACATGTATATCAGATATTGGATATCAGATTTGAAGTTTGTTTTGAGAAGAACAATCGATATCTCAATAAACGAGCTTTTTGAACCCTTGTTTAATCTCCATGTTTAGCAGAGCTTAGCGATTTTTTGATAGAAAAATTTTAATTTACTTCAAATAGCTTTTTTGCATCCTCATCGTTGACCATTTTTCTGAGCTTCATAAAATATTTTTGACAAAGTTTTTTTACTTTTACAACACTTGTTTTCTGTTTGAAATAATGCTTTATTCCAAAACATATTTTAACGATATCAGATACAAAGCTCGCATATCTATTAAGGTTTTCCTTGTCCCCTTGTGTAATCAATGCTCCCATAGATTCTCTATTTTCTTTAAAATATTTAATTTTATTCTTCATCAACTCAAACAGTTCATCATCTCCTTCTTGAGGTTCCCCATATACAATTTCCTCATGATTACTTAAATATTCAATCATTGCGTTAACAGTATCATCTTCATAAACTACGGGTTTCTATAATTATTAGAATAATTAAAAACACCTGAAGCAAACTTGAAAATTTTTACTTATAGGACCCATGCTCCTTTTCGAACGATATGTCGTTCAAAAAAGCTTGCTGAACTGAATGAACAACTGTCCCCGGTAGGTAGGGTTGGGGGTTTTGAGTTGGGCCGACGTTCGAGTCTTTTTTTCCAAAATTCAAGGCCAGGTTCGATCTTTCGAACCGAACCGGTAGGGATAAATATAACCCTACTATAAATGTAACCCTACCGGTAGGGATCAGGGCTGGGCGAAATCTAAAAATAAAAAGCGAAACTTTTCGGAATGCGGAATGCGAAACTTTTCGCGCTAAGAAAAGTGAAAAATGCGAAACGCGAAATGTGAAATTAGCCCAGCCCTGTTAGGGATTGTCCTCATTCCTAGAGGACAACTTATGGACCACCCACGTTCCCATAATAAAGAACACCGCAACCCCGTCCCCATAAAATCAGCCACCTCCTGAGAGATATATTCGAACTCGTGTTCTTTTTCAATTACTTTTTTGAATTTTTTACAAAGTTTTTCAGTTGATTTTTTTGATTTTTGTTTTTTGAAATAATGATTTTTATGGATACAAATTTTGTAGATATTATATGCCATTAATAAATCATTTTGAATGGGTTCATGATTCTTATAACGTAAATTATCTAACAAAATATTTTTTATTTTAAAAAAATATTCAATTTTCATCTCCAACAACTCAGACAGTATTTCTTCCAAATCTCTGTCTTCTGAAAAATTTAAATTTTTAAATTTTAAGGAGACCTAAAAGAATTAATATATTGGGGGGAATTCGGAATCAAATTTAGACTGTTTCCAAAGTTTTAGGTTATATTCTGACCTTCATTCGCAGGAATAAGGTGATAATATTAACCGGGCCTAATAATTACATAGAGATTTAATTTTTAGCAAACGCATCTTTTTTGTAAGCTTGGCATAATGTATAATTAGTAGTGGTGGAGGTTTCGAATCGAGCCTTCGAGTCAATTTTTCGGGTCTTGTTGGTTCGAGTCATTTTGTCGGGCCAAAATTTGATGCCCGAATCGATCTTTTGAACCGAACCGGGCCCCCAACCCGAAATAATTAGTGATGTCGTTTTCGAGTCAGATAGATGGTCGAGGCATTTTTATTTTTTTGGGTCTTGTATTTATCTAATCGGTCTGTTCGAGCCACTTTCGGCTCAAATATCCTAGGCCCGACTCGATCTTTCGGTCCGAGCCTGTCCATTTTGGCAACCTTACTATGGAAGGTTCGATTGTACGTGAAAACGCATTTCCTACAACATTTCTCAGATTATGGGGCATCTTGTCAAAATCAGTCGGGAACATATGGTTTTACGACCTGTAACAGGACCAGAATTTACCGAGACCTTATCTCGGTAAACCTTATCTACTCAATCTACTTATTGAGTAGATAAGGTATATCCTTAAAATTCTCATTAAACTTTCATGCCAAAAATTTGTTTTTTTTGGCTAACCTTCCTCAGTTACTCCTTCTGATATTTGAAAATAGCCGAGTAAATTTGTATTCTCATCATCTCCTTCCTCTCCTTGTTCTTCTTCTATTTCACGATACCCACCAGAACCTCCTGACCCATTACATTTAATCGCCAAAAATAATATAAAAATTAATATTTTGACCAATTTAGATCGAAATTTTGAACGCATATTTTAGCGCTTTTCGTCGCTTTTTAAGCTCCAAACTTAGCTAAATTAAATATTTTAAATTATTAAAAAAATTTTTTTTTGAAAATTGATTTAATAATTAATTAAAATGGTATTGAGAGGGGTAGTAGATTATAATTTTAAATGGGCTGTCGCCGACTCTCTCCCTCTCCTGTCAGGGGCGTGGAATCGATAATAAAATTTTTTTTCTGGTAAGCAAACAAGACAGCTGCCTGACAAGGCACTTGATTCTCTCTTCTGTCAGTCTCTCTCTTTCTCCTGTCAGGGGATGGAATCGATAAAATTTATTTAAAGACCTCTGGCAATAGCCTTCACTATCCCTATTAAGCAAACAAGACACCTGCCTGACAAGGCACTTATTCTCTCCTTCTCCTGTCGTCGACTCTCTCTCCCTCCCCTGTTAGGGGATTGAATCGATAAAATTTTAAAGACCTTCGACAATAGCCTTCACTATCCCTATTAGGCAAACAAGACAGCTGCCTGACAAGGCACTTGATTGATTTGACTCTCAATTTTTGGTTTCTTCGCTTCTCTCATTCCTCTCTCCCTCTTACTTGACAGCTTGACAGACTCACAGCAGACTAGCGCAGGCAAAAGAGAGGATGTTTCCTCCCATGTTTCTTTGTTTCATAATCTTATGTTTCAGCAAAGGTTTAGAATAAATATACAAATATTTTTAAATATTTTTAAATTTACTTTTCGGGTAATATTGTTTAAAAATTCGTTAAAAAAATCCGTGTCAACTTCCCAAAATTAGAGCTGCTAAAAACACAAAATTTTCAAGGCTCTAAAAAGCTCTCTAAAAAGTCCAGAGCTGCGTCGAAATAAAAAAATCTTCGAAAATCAGAAATCGAAATTTCGATGCAGCTCTGGTCCCAAGCCCAGACTAAAAACAAGTCTTGGACAGCTCTACAAAATACTCTCTGGAAACTATTAGTCATGCTTCTAAGTGTTCTAAAGTCGAGAGGCTCTTAATAAACGACAAAATATCACATTTGTTACAGTATTTGTTTGGAAAATATTTTTGACTATTTTAGTTCCCTGAGGGTATTTTTTCAGTTCCCACCCAAAAATAAAAATAAAAAAATGAAAAATAGGGGCCAATGTTACGTTAAATAAAATAATCTTTTTTTAGTCTTTTTTCTCTTCTCATCAAAAATTTTTTTAAAAAAATTCATTTTCTCCCAAAATTTTCTTCCAATATGCAGAATTCTCCTTCCTTTCCTTCCACCACCACTATTGCTTACTCGAAGACCCTTTCTTCTTACCAAACCAACTCATTATGCCTTTACTTTTTTTCTTTTCTTGATGTTGTTCACCCATTGGCATAACTACGGTTGCAGATGTTGCTGGTGTGAACGGGCTAACATAATTTTCCCCAGAAGTTTCTTTTTCTTCTATATGACTTTCTAACTCATTAATCATTGCTTCAACATCCTTCTTCCTGTACCTGGTAGTAATTTCAGGTGTCTATAATTGGAACATTGAAAGAAACATTTTTTGATTTCTCCTATACATAGGTCCATAGTCAAATTATGCCCTCAATAATTGGTTTACCCAACAAACCTTAACAAAGGAGAGTGCCTGGGGTGTCCGCGGGACTTCGGATGAAATTTGTTGGACAGGTAGAACATACCCTACTTTACCCTAAAATTTAGGGGGCTTATAACTCGGTCCCCGGTGACATTTAGCGGAAATGATGGTAGTGTATACTAAAGTAGGGTATGTTCTAACTGTCCATCAACTTTCATCCCGAAGTCCCGCGGACACCGCAGGCACTCCCCTTTGTAAGCGTAAAGGCAAGTGACATTCTGTAGGATCCCGTCAAGACTGTGGGATCCCGTCGTTATTCGGATTTATGGAGTAATGGAGACAAGAATTAATCTTGCTTTGAGAGGCGGGATTTATATTTAGAAAAATCACTATCTCAGTAAACCGAGCTTTTTGAACGCTCACTGTGACTCTTTATTTTGACAAAGCTTAGTGGTTTTTTTCTAATACAAAATTTTTAATTTTACATTAAATATATCCTGTCCATTAGTTTCACTGATCATTTGATTGAGCTCTTCAAAAAAATCTTCACAAAGTTTTTTGACAGCTTTTCTCTCCCGTTGGAAATAATGCTTTATACCATAACAAATTCGGATTAGATCGAATACAAATTTATTTTTGTCATTAACACTTTCATAATTTTGTTGCGCAATCAAAACTTTTATCAAATTTTTTGTTTTTGAAAAATAATTAATTTTATTTTTCATCAATTCAATCAGTTTTTTGTCTAAATCCTCTGTTTGTGCAAATTGCCCATAATCAATTATCTCATGTTGATTTAAGGCATTGAACATTGCTATAGCATTATTTTCGTTGTACTGTTCACCAACATTAACTTCCTATAATTATTGGAATAATTGCTCCTAATAGCATGCCCTTAATATCAAACTTAGACTACGGACTCAACTGCTCCCCGATCCCTTTTCCGGGACCATCTCCCATCCTATAGCTTGTCGGTACACCTGTCCCGGACCCTATAACTTATGAATGGATGGTCACTTTTTTTGCTCTTGGTATCATTGGATAGGGTATTAAATAGGCTCGGATAGCTTGTGGCTCACCCACCATCCCAGTCCACACCTCTACCAGCACCCCATGAAAACAGCTACCTGAAAAGTATCTCCAAACTTTTCTTTAAATTTTTTTACGAATTTTGTTTTTTTACCAAGTTCTTTTTCCATAGTTTTTTTATTTTTATTGAAATAATGCTTTATATTGGTACAAATTTTGTAGACGTTATAAAACATGAGTAAATCATTCTGAATGGGTCCAGCAGCTTGGGTAGTTTGCATCATTGTTGTTAAAAAATCTGCTTTTTCGAAGAAATATTCAATTTTTCCCTTTATCAACTCAAACAATTCTTTATCTAAATCTCTGTGTTCTTGATGAGGTGTAAATTCTGAAAAATTTAAATGTGAAAACGTTAATGAACCACAAATGAATTAAAAAAAAGTTGGGGGCAAAATTATAACCTCAATTTGCCTAAGCGATAAACCCAGAAGGTAAAGACCCAGGAGGTCGATTCTAAAAGGTTAAATAAAATTTTTGGCTGATAAAGAAGGATTTGGGCGGATTAAGGCGGATTTGTGGGCATTAAGGAGGATATCGCCGGATTTGGGCGGATTAAGACGGATTTATTGGGATTAAGGGGGATTAAGAGACATAGGACGGAGATACTCTAGTTGCAACTGTCGGATAATGCAAAAGAAAGCAGGCAAACATATTCTTGAGAATGAGTTTGTGGGCATTAAGGAGGATTAAGATGGATTTTTATCCGTCAAAAATTTGTATTTGACCTTTTGTGTCTTTTGACCTCCTTATGAGTTTTGACCTTCTGGGGTGGACCCTCGCCGAAATAAGGAGTTCTGGGATTTCCCCTAGCTCAATAACCAAAGCAGCCTTGATTGTGCGTGAAAACTTGTTTCCCACAACATTCCTTCCATTATGCGGCATCTTGTCTAAACCAGTCGGGGATCTATATTTCCAAGACATATGACAGGACCAGAGTTTACCGACACATGGCTAATGTGCTTATATAAACTAATTAATGAGTAGATAGGGTATGGCCATAAAATTCTTATTAAACTCTAATGCCAAAAATTGTTTTTTGGCTAACCTTCCACAGGTACTCCTTCTGATACTTCAAAAAAGCCGCCAAGTAAGTTTGTATTCACATCATCATCTCCTTCCTCTCCTTGTACTTCTTCTATTTCACCATACCAACCAGAACCTCCTGATCCATTACATTTACCGTATTTCCTAAAATAAAGCCCCATGCTAAATTAGTGCCCCACCCTAAAATAGAGCCCCACTTTGGAGGATAGTTCAAATTTAGAGCCCCATGCTAAATTAGAGCCCCACTCTAAAATAGAGCCCCACCTCACTTTTTTAAATTTACTTTTATTCCAAATTGGTAAACAAAATTGTTAAGATGTGAGTAAAAGGGGAGAGGGGTTGGATGAGTAAATGGATGTTAGTGAATTTGGGGATTAAAAGGGATATCGAGAGATTAAAATTAAGAGGGTTGGGGGAGCTATTTTGGATTAAGGGACCTTCCCAGAGCAATCCGAAGTTTAGCACAAACTGCCATTCTGAGAAAATCCGGTTAAGGAATTTAAGTGTCCATTCGGGGGATATTGAATGAGGCAAATTTAAATGGATTATAAGTGATATTGTAATATTTTGGTGAGTAAAAGTTGTCAGTCCGAAAAAGGATGTCAGTCAGTCCTAGTGTCTGATTCTGAGGGAAGACGTCTCCCGATCAAAACTCCCCTATATCCCACGCTTGCCTATGTCCTATACTTTGCGGAGTTCACACAAGGACGCTTGTGAAACTCCAATCCAATAACCCCATTTTGAAGGCATTGGGAAACGGGACCAACCGCTTTATTATTATTTATTAAGAGTTTAAGGGGAATAAAGGGATTTGAGGGAATAAAGTATTATTGAACATTAGGGTATTTTAAGGCGAAATTTTTGAGAGCCTTGGAAGGCCAAGGAGTTAGCTTTCTTTATTTTCAACGCCGCAGAAGAAACTTTTGGAAAGATAGACAAAATCTTAAGTCTGCAAAAATTATTGAAAATCGAAAATTTTTCCTAAATTTCGTAAATAAAAAGAATCTATTTTTCATTTTTGTAATTTGAAAAATAGGTTGAAATTTAGAGCCCCATGCTAAATTAG